TAGTAGTTAGTAGTTAGTAGTTAGTAGTTAGTAGGTAGTAGGTAGTAGGTAGTAGTTAGTAGTAGTAGTAGTAGTAGTAGTGGTAGTAGTAGTAGTAGTAGTTAGTAGTAGTAGGTAGTAGTAGTTAGTAGTAGGTAGTAGTAGGTAGTAGTAGGTAGTAGTAGATAGGTAGGTAGGTAGGTAGGTAGGTAGGCAGGCAGGCAGGCAGGCAGGCAGGCAGGCAGGCAGGCAGGCAGGCAGGTAGGTAGGTAGGTAGGTAGTAGTTAGAAGTTAGAAGTTAGAAGTTAGAAATTAGAAGTTAGTAGTTAGTAGTTAGTAGTTAGTAGTTAGTAGGTAGTAGTTAGTAGGTAGTAGTAGTAGTAGTAGTAGTAGTCTTACAATAGGAGTCGCAAGAAGCCCGCAGCCAGCCTGGCAACCTGGTTCTCCCGCATCCAGTCTCCAACCTGCTGGACAATGTGCAAGCTTAAGGCCAGCAGTCCCAATCTCCAAGGAAAGCAAATTCCATGGTCGGTGTTGACAACTTCAGGAGGGTTGGCGGATTGAATTCTCCCGTTTAAATTTTGCGCCACACTGACCGCAATGACTCTGCTGTGGGGTCATCCTGAGCGTCAAAAGCACACCGGAAAAGTTCAGCCATCCATGGGATCTCTGGAAGGCCACAGTTCTTGCGCAACGCTAGCCTGAGATGTGTGTATGGTGGTCGAATGAGTGCAAAGTGAGCAGGAACCGTCTTGAGTGAATCCGAGCCCGAAAGCAGACTCCAGTCCCGAGGGTTCTTTTCCCAGGAGAGTGGAATGAAGTTACATCCACGGAGCCGGCCAACCGAGCCGCGGGGAAAGGCGCGAGCGGCAGCGCGCGGGATGTGATGTATTCCACACCGGCCACGCTCGACATCCAGCCACCTCGCGGTTGTATTTTTTGCGAGTGCGACACCCATAAGATCCCCCAACAGTGCTGGCATTGTTGCCGCTCCATCTTGGACACCACTGCTCGGCTAGAAGTGCCTTCACCGGAAAACAAACGTCAACATACAGCCAGTAGTAGTAGTAGTAGTAGTAGAAGAAATAGTAGAAGTACCAGTAGCAGTAGCAGTAGCAGTAGCAGGAGTAGTAGTAGTAGTAGTAGTAGTAGTAGTAATAGTAGTAGTAGTAGTTGGTAGTAGTTAGTAGTAGTTAGTAATAGTATGTGGCTGGTAGTTAGTAGTAAGTAGTAAGTAGTAAGTAGTAAGTAGTAGTCGTCGTCGTCGTCGTCGCCGCCCTGGGCTTTTTTGAGCGGCTGCTTTGGCCCTCTGCATACGCAAGCAGCTTCTGTTTATGTCTGCCGGAGCTAGTACCTCCCTCTCTTAAGACTCTCAAGCTTTGAGGAATGCGATAGACGACAGTCGCACAACCATGAACCTTAGAGTGTGCCATGTACGTCTTAGATGCAGAAGCCACCTACATTTCAGGGGGGTGGGGGTGGGTGGGGGTGGGTAATTCCGTTTGGTTGGATGTGCTTTGAGACCTTTGCGGACGTCTCTGAGACCTTTGCGGCACCCATCCTGTGGCACCCAGCATTTGTTGCTGCAGAGGTCTTTGAGGACCGTGAATATATATGATGCCATGTAACTATACCCGTTCGCCCTCCAAGACCCAACAAATGGTTCACCTGGTTTTGTAGAAGAACATCCTTATTAATGAAAAGAAAACCAAACACAATAGTTGTTCGGTAAGAACCCATTGAGACGATGGTGGTTGAAATCTCTCTCTCTATATAATGAATATATTTTTAAAAAATGATATATATTGATGATAATTGAGCACGTGACCCCCCTGAGCAAAAGCGCGCAACAAACAACACCTTTGCCCACTAGCTTTGCCGACCGCTGCGCAACTTGGGTTCCAGACCACCAATTACGCTCCACGCGGTTCCTGGCGCAAATGCTTTGGCTTTGACAGTCGCATCTGCAAACTCGGAATCCAACTCGGTCCATCATGAGAACAGTAGATAAACATTGGACTGCAAAGCGCACGACAAATCACACCCACCAGGACCTTCCGCCAGACGGTTTTTTTGATGTTTTTGGACACCCCGAATCACCTATAGACACCTCTTGGAGGTCCCGGCAAATATGTTTGGGACTTCCACTGATTTTTGAGTCGTGACTGGTTCCAGTTCGACTGGAAGCCCAGCTAACGACCGGAACGGGCACCGATCGGTTCCTTATTGCTGGTGACTGGAATCCACATGAAAACACATCGACATCTCATACACGGTTTATCATGGTTGCTTGAATACGGGATTCCACGGTTTCTTTTTATCAGCCTACAATGCCCTACAAGTCACACATGTTCCGTGTCGAGGTTTATCAAGAAACAAAACATGTCGACGGGTGCTCGCGAAAAATAACTGCTTCAAAGAGCCATGATCAACAGTCAGCCTCTGTCTGACAGTCCTCTACTGTGCTTTTGTATTTTTTTTGGAAGACGCTAGAGCTAGTGTGGGGCTTTCAAAATATGGAGAGGCGTCGTTCATCCAGGAATCTAAATGTTTAAAACAAATGTGATGTTTTCTCACATGAGACAAAAAATGACATTTAAAAAATACATATCAATTCATACATACTTGGTATATATGTATATACACACTATACTATTCTATAGATATTATATTGCACATAATACCGCAACGGCCGCAATGGTTGATACCTTCCAAACAGCTGCAGGCGTATGCACATTCCCAAAGAGTAGGAAATCCAAACACGCATCTACAGGAGCCAGTCCGGGGCATAGTCAACCCAAGTATAACATTTTCTATATTGTATACCGTATATACTATATAATTAGTATGCAACTTAATTCCAAACACAATACGTTTAGATATATTGTTTATGTATAACATACAAGTCTCAAAGTACGAACTGGATTGTCCGGGTATCTTGCTAAATGTTCCATAAATACATCTAGAAATATCTTGGTTGTTCAGCCCATCATCTCCACTCTCCCCTACCAGCCGATCCCAAGCCTTGCGGCTTGGTGGTACACCGTCACAGGCGAGCTCTCTCGTCGCGACCGTCGCCTGAGCCGTTGAGCCGTTTGAAGGTTCCCACCAGACTCTCCACAATGGCCTCCAACCTAAAAGCAAAAGGAACCCAACGGCAATGGCCTCCAACCTACTAGCAATGGCCTCCAACCTACTAGCAATGGCCTCCAACCTACTGGCACTGGCCTCCATCCTAATAGCAGGGTGGCATCTTTGCTGTCCAGGAGCGTGGGAAAGAAAAGATTTCCCAGAATGGGATGTACCTGGGAAAGTCTCAAATCACCTGATTCGAAAATGTAGACTCTTGAGTACTGTTCCTGGAAAAGTGTCTAGTTCACCAAACTTTCCACTTGCTCTTGTTGAGGAGACCCAAGTCCCAAGAAGGGTTGGCGATCCACTAACTAGTTCGGAAATAGGACTCCTAGTGGAAAGGACTGTGGCCAAAGCTACTAGCTTTTGCGATGTCTTTGTGCAAAATATAATCATTTTCACCCAAACGTAGCTCGAGGGCACGCTCAGCAAGTGGACAAATCATGTTCACAAGGATTCTTGGATTTGCTTAAGGAACCTGAAAGGGGATTAACCCATAGGGAATGTAACAAAGCAAAACCAGGGATTGATTGGTTGATTGGTTTTGGGAACCCGACTTCCA